GTTTTCGGGGACGAAGAGGGTGTAGGAGGATTGGGTGAAGGTCGGGGCGTTGTCGTTGACGTCGGAGACCAGCACAGTGATGTTGTGCTGGGTTTTGAGCCTTGGTGTCCCCAGGTCGGTGACGGTGATGGTGATGTTGTACTCGGCCCTGGTCTCTCTGTCTAGTGGTCCTTCTGTCACCAGGGTATAGAAATTCATAAATGTTGGTTTCAGAATAAAGGGCAGATTGTCTGGAATAGAGCAAATCATCTTCCCATTGTCACCAGAATCTCTGTCTCCTACTCGGAAGATGGACACGACCGTCTCAGGAGCATTTTCTGGAATGGAGCTGCTGAGTGAAGTTATGGTGAGTTCAGGGGCATTGTCATTCACGTCCACCACCTCTATGACTACTGTTCCTTTTCCAGAGAGGCCTCCTCCATCTGTAGCCTCAATTTCCACATGGTAAGACTTAATTTTTTCAAAATCCAGTTTCTTTTGCAGTCGGATTTCTCCTGTGACTTCATTTATCGAGAAAGTTTGTTCAATTGCATGTGATGGTTGGAACAAGCCATAGGAAACACTTCCAAAATTTCCAGCATCCATATCTGTAGCTAAGACACTAAGGATTGGGGAATGTACGGAGCAGTTTTCCAGGACCTGCACCTTATATGGGGTGTCCACAAACTCAGGAGCATTGTCATTGACATCCATGATCAGGATTTGAACACTGACAGTGCCAGACCTAGGTGGAGACCCACCATCCAGAGCCGTAAGGGTTAGGCTATACTCAGCCTGCTCCTCCCGATCCAGAGGCTTGTCCTGCACCAAGTCTGGGAATTTCTTGCCCTCACTATCATTTCGAGTGAGAATGTGAAAATGAGAATTAGGGCTGATGGTATACTTTTGAAGCCCGTTGCTGCCCACATCCAAATCTTCGGCTAATTTCAGGGGAAATACAGTCCCTGGCTGGCTGTTTTCAAGTATTTTCAAGAGCACTTCCCCATCAGGGAACATTGGAGAATGGTCATTAATGTCCTGAACCCATAACTCTCCTTGAAAAAACTGCACTGGCATTTCAAGGAACACTTGGAAATGCAGCACACAGGGTTCAGTAGGGCCACATAGCTCCTCTCGGTCTAGCGTCTCCCTCAGAAACAAATCTCCAGTCTGAGGATCCAGCAACAAATGCTGCTTATAATCGTCAGACAACACCTTGGCTGACCGGGCAGCCAGTTCCGCAGTTCCCAAGCCCAAGTCTTTAGTCAGATGGGCTACAAAGGCACCACACTCGGTTTCCACCTGCACAGAGTAACGGATAGGCCCTGAGTGAACCTGAGATAATACCATCATAAAAATTAACGCCATGACTTGCCTGTTTAGTTGAATTCTCTGAAGCTTCTCCATGTTGGAGTCCAGGTGCTTGTATTCAGTCCTTTTAATACTCACAGAAAGACTGGTGATACTGATTTCTGTTTTCTTGTTTGGAGGAATTGGCACCACATTGTTTTTAATCTTAAACCTATTGTATATCATGTTCCCAATCGGCTGGTAACTCCACACTGCTTGCAAAGCTGCTTCTCTGTGTTTTTGATTCCTTGTGGTGACACAAAAGGATTTGCGCGTTTAAAGCTTTTTCTCAACCTTAGCCTGCAGCGCCACCCTGCGTCTTGCTTGAGAAATTAGTATAGTATTTTTCATCAAAGAACATTTCATGTTTCGAAATGAACCTTTAAAAAAAAGCGTAAGAAAAAGCATTTTTTTGAAAAAAGGAACGTTGTTTTTAAGTTGTGTGATAACGTCATTTCATTAAAGTTCTTCAGTTAGAATGGTCTTGTGTAAATAATATCTGTGTCTCCCATGCTCCGTATCTGTGAATTTCAAAGAAGTCCTGCATCTCTTGTATATTATCTAACCAAGAGTGGTAAGTTCTTATAAAAAGTCAGTTCATAATGAAATCAGTTCATAATAGTTATTTTTTTTGTTTTTTTTTTGGGGGGGGTGTTTCTGGTACCGGGAATCAAACTCACGACCTTGTGCTTGCCAGGCAGGCACTGTGCTGCTGAGCTAAATCCCCAGCCCCCAATAGTTATATATTTTTTATCTTCAGGAATATAAGAACTTCACGAAGATGGAAAATTTTAAGATATCCTGTACCACATGGTCCAAAGTTCATTATTTTTCAAAGTAGGTTTTATTCCCCTACACTGGTGTGCAAGTAGGACAATTCAGTAAAAACGTATCTTGTTTTGTATTGTGTTTTACAGTGTGAAGCTACATTAAATTTAGAAATAATACTAAATAATATTGAACCCATACTAGAAGCCAATTCTAAGAGCTGGAAAGAAAATAAAAAATAATTTAAAGATACTAAACCCAGAGGGTGATAGGACTTCTATTGCTATTGTCAGGATAATATCAAGACAAAAATTAGGTGAGTAAAAATGTCATGGATAAACACATATGATAAAGTCTTAAGCTGCATTTATTTAACTAGATAGGTATAATCTATATTTTATAAGAGTTTGCTTGTTACCACACTCACCCTTTGTTTACCAAGTACCATATTCCTGGACCAGCTTGCTTTGAGTGAAAATACAAGGCAGTGACCTAAAGCATTTTAATCTGTGAGAAAAGGATGCATTAGAGCTCTACTTATACTTGTTGAAGATGCAAATCATGTATAAAATGGATTTCAGCACAGCATATACCTGTTGTGACTGCTCGGCTACAATAAAATACCACTGATACCACAAAGACACAGTTAACCAATTTATTGTTTACAGTTAGTATTTTGGGTAGAGTATCACTTATCTTCCCACAAGCAGGATTTTCTTTCCTGAAATATCTTTTCATTACCTTATTAATGTATTAATTGTAACTTAATTCATATGTTAAATTAGTTATTTATGTTGAATAACTTCTTTTAAAAGTATGTCAGTAATCTCACATTCTGATGATAGAAATTGTTAATAAAAACTACTTTTGAAAGAGATATAATAGTCAATGAGTATAGTTAAGTAAATAAATTAATCCATTGTATTATTATGTTTCTCCTTATACAAGCAGATAATTGTCATATCATATATTGTGCCATGAACATATCTGAACCTAAAAGCAGAATTTGGAGAGATAAGAGTGTAATATGCTACACAATTTGTCTTGGTTACTTTTCTGTCTTTGCTGAGACAAAATACCCAATGCCTAAAATTAAGGAAGAAAAGGTTTATTTAGCTCACACTTCGCTGAGGTTTCAGTGCATAATGAGCTGGCTCCAAGAAAGAGTGGCATGGCACAGGGGCAACAGTCGAAGGTGGCAGAAGACAGTAACAGCAACAAGAGCAAAAGGGGGGG